TGGGCAGAGGCTGCACTATTGCTGGACTCCCTGTTCACACTCACACTCACTGTTCACACTCACTGTTCACACTCACCCACTGTTCACCCCACTGGTCACACTCACTGGTCACACTCACCCCACTGTTCACACTCACTCTCACCATTCACACTCACTCTCACCATTCACACTCACTGTTTACTCTCACTGTTCACACTCACCGTTCACACTCACCCCACTGTTTACTCTCACTGTTCACACTCACCCCGCTGTTCACACTCGCTGTTCACACTCACTCTCACTGTTCACACTCACCCCACTGTTCACACTCACCCCACTGTTCACTCTCACTGTTCACTCTCACTGTTCACACTCACCCTGCTGTTCACACTCGCTGTTCACACTCACTCTCACTGTTCACACTCACCCCACTGTTCACTCTCACTGTTCACTCTCACCGTTCACACTCACCCCACTGTTCACACTCGCTGTTCACACTCTCCCCACTGTTCACACTCGCTGTTCACACTCTCCCCACTGTTCACACTCACCCCACTGTTCACTCTCACCGTTCACTCTTACTGTTCACACTCACTCTCACTGTTCACACTCACTGTCACCGTTCACACTCACTGTCACCGTTCACACTCTCCCCACTGTTCACACTCACCCCACTGTTCACTCTCACCGTTCACTCTCACCGTTCACACTCACACTCACCGTTCACACTCACCTCTCACTGATTGTCCCTGGACCATGCTCTCCCAGAGTGCTCTTGTCATGTCTCTCCGAGTGAGTGGGAGGCTCTCCGGAGCCAGTCTTATGATGTGTGATGAGGATGGACACAGCACCAGCTGTGAGAAGGAGTCTCATGCGGAGGCGTGTGGATCCCGACACACGTCGGGCTGCCAGGAGCTGCTGCTGTCACCACAACCCATACGTAGCACACTGGCATGGTGGTCAGACCACACAGGTAGAAAATTCCTGTAAGCACGGCGTATTCATGTGATGGTTAATTCACCTGGGGTGCTGCCACAGGGGCTGTCTTGGCCAGGTTGCCTGTGGGCATGTCTGCGGGGCACTGTCTTGGCCAGGTTGCCCTGTGGGCATGTCTGTGGGGTGCTATCTTGGTTGCTTTAATTGCTGTGGGAAGAAACAGTCTGAAAGTGGATGATTCTGTCCCCTGGTTGGGGCACCTGGACTGTATAAAGGTAGAGTAGTAAGCACATGTATTTCTTTTCTCTGCTTTTGACCACAGATGTGATGTGACTACATATCTCCTGCCATGGCTACTTCCCTACAGTGATGGGCTGTAACCTGCTACCTTTCTCCTCTAGGTTGTTTTTTTTTTTCTTACAATGAACTTGTTTTTATTTTATGTGTGTGTTTTCCTGCATGACTATATGGACATGTGCCGGGTGCTCACAGAGACCAGAAGAGGGTGAAGGGTCCTTGGAATTGGTTTTACAGATGGTTGTGAGCTGCCACGTGGATGCTGGCGACCTACCTGGGCCCTCTGCACGGACAGCAAGTGCTCTTAGCTGCTGAGTCATCTCTGCAGCCCCTCAGGTAAGCTGCTTTCTCTTGGGCCATTTTATCACAGCAACATAAACAAAATTAGAACAATGCATATGTAAGACAAATAGTCATTAGGTTGCAAATAGGTACGGGTACTGAGGTCTCTTGTACCATGCTCCGCATTCCATCTCTAGTTCAAGAAACCTATCCAAGAGTGACCCCAGTGTCCCCGGGAGGCTCCTGCACAACCTGGCCCTGCTCAGGTGTCAGGGCCCTGCATTATTGAAATACGAGAGCTTTTGTCCCTTGTTTCTTGTCCTCCACCTCCCTTGCGGCCCCTGTGGCAGATACAGATACGGAGGAGGAGAGGACATTTGTCCTGTTCTCTTCCCCATGGCACGGGCAACCCCTCCTGGGGGTCCAAGACTCCCCTGCAGCCCCAAGCAAGTGTTGACCCTGCACCAACTTCTCTTCCAGCGCCCTTCGAGTCTAGGCCAGCTCCAAACTGCATTACAGCAGGTACAGAAGGCTGCGGGCTGCTTCCAAAGAACTAGCAGACAGGGACCTGACCCCACCCTTGATCCCCACTCCAGGTTCATGAGGGCTGGGACTGTCCCCCAGGCCTGCAGCTACCCATGGTACTGCTGAAGATGGAGCAGAGCCTACGGGCCCAGGAGAAGGTAGGGGCTGGCACATGGGGGAGGCAGACGCAGAAGGCAGAGTGGATCCCCTCATTTCCTGGCTCTCCCCCCATGCAGCTTCTCTGGGACTTGGAGCTGCTGACTGGGGTTGGGTTGGGCCTCTTCTGGCCCCCCTGGGCTGGGTCCTATGGCCAGAGGAAGCAGACTCAGCATGCATGGAACCAGTGCAGCCAGTCCTGGGGCAGGAATCTAGATGGGAACTCTGAGCAGCTGGTAAGTAGGGGTACCATGTGACACCGAGGTAGTCAAGAGGGTGAGGGCAAGTGGGAGACGCATGGGCTTTGAGGACTTTCAGGCCTAGGTTCACGTCTGCTTTGTAGTTTCCTGTGGACTCTAAGCTTCCACTTGCTCAGCTATATATGCGGGTGATGACAGATCCTTCTAGATTCTCTTCAAAGGCCATTGGTTGAACCCCTGGACTATTGGAACAAAAGGGTTCCCACCACACCCAACAAACACTACGTTCTCCCAACTCGAAGACAAATGGCTGGTGAAATCAACTGTGAGCCGTATGCAAAGCCTTCCACGTGGCTGCCCAGAGGGGAGGCTGTCATCTGGCAGGTCCAAGAGGGCAGAGGCGATGGCGCCCAGCATGGTCCTGAGACAGGGATGCTGAGCAGTCTATGCCATGGGCTCCCACATGCAGGACCCAAGCTGGGCCGATCCTTTGGATAGGTTCCAAAACAGAGCTGAGAACTAGGGATGACACCACAGTCCTGTCACTGAGGTCAAGTTAGTGGCTTCTCAGGGCTGAGGCATCCTCTGTGGTAACAAAAGGTTTGTTAGTAGTGACTACCGAGGAAGAGTTCAGCCAGCCTTGAGGAAGAGGTGTCACAAAGGGCGTGAATGCCACCAGGCAGGCAACACGAGGGCCTGCTGGAAGCTTCCTTCCACACCTGGAGAATGCTACCCTGTGGGTCTGGGCTCTCTTAATCCTTGCAGAATTCCAAGCTGCACCCTCCAACCCAGGCTGGGGAAGCCCCAAGTGATAGCCATCAGCTCCTAAAGGGGTGAGAATTGCTCCCCTGGGACTCTGTGTTCTTAGTACTGCCTTACAGCGACGGAGAACCTACAAACCATCAAGCCCTCCTAGTGTCCCTCCTGCCTCCAATTCCCTCCAGACCCTTGTTCCGTTGTACCCATACTTGCCCTACACTCAATCCCTGGAAGGGTAATGCAGCTCCCAGGGTGCAGGAGTCAGGGGAGGCTCCCTGGATGTGGAGTTGGGTCACTTGGCAGCCCGGAGGGAGGGGTGAGGGAGTCTAGCAGGCAGGCTGCTCCCCACTGCAGCTGCTGAACTCCTGCAGGAGGCAGGCCACAGACCCCTCATCTGCCTCAGATCTGGGGGAAGGCGGGAACAACACAGACCCAAGGCCGGAGGGCCCCATTACGCCTGCAGAGACACCTGGTACACCAACAGGAGCGTGTCGAGGAGCCAAGGGAGCATGCGCTCCTGGAGCTGGTAAGCCAGACAAGACTGGGAGACAGGGACAATGTCATCCTGATCTCATACCTTTTCACTGGGTGTCAAGTCAGCTGGGGGTGGCAAATAGGATTTTAATTTATTTTTATTTTATTTTGTTTTTCGAGACAGGGTCTTGCTGTGTGGGCCATCTTTTTATTTTGTTTTGTTGTTCTCTTTTTCTTTTCTCCCTGCTCACCCACAGACAGGGTTTCACTGTGTAGCCCCGGCTGTCCTGGTACTCACTATGTAGACCAGGTTGGCCTCGAACTCCGTGATCTGCCTTCGGGGGTGGGGGATGGGGGGCACTGAGACTAAAAGCATGTGCCACCACTGCCCAGCTTTGTATAGGCTATCTTAACCTGGAACTTGCTGTATAGTCCAGGCTGATCTTGAGTTCACAGCCCTCCTGCCTTAGCCTCACAAGTGCTAGGATTATGCGTGCACCAGGATGCTCAACAGAAGTAGCTTTTATTGTCAACTTCCCGGTCGGCACCAGCTGTCTCAAGCACTGTGTCCAGTGGGATTCTGAATTGAATTGGGGCTCAGGCAGGAAGAGCCAGCAGTTGAAGGAATAGGGAAAAAGGAACAGAATAGCAATCCAAGGCTATCCACTTGCTACCCTGATGTCAAACACAGGGGCCAGACAGAGACATGGGAGGACCTACTTGTTCTACTCTTTGAGACCACAACCTTGGGAGAGAGTAAGACATTAAGTGGGCAGACAGGGTTTGGTGGGATAGATGCCCTGGCCTCCCCTCCCCTAGCCTGTTGTGTTGATTGATTCTCAAATTATGTGTCAAACAGTACATCGGTCAAAGCTACATACTTCCAATTGTTTCATCACTTGGAAGAGTACTAATGGTTCTTTTTTTGATTGACAGAGTAATTATGAGTATGTTGTCTCTTGGGAAGACAAGGATACAAATTACACTGTATTACCTGGGGGTAGGGGGCTGTCTACAATATATTAGCTGGGAGGGGGGGCTCTCTAAGACCACAACTTAGAAGGAAGAAGGTAGGGGATTGTTTTTTTCCACTTTTTGGCAATGATTTCTAAAGCCAAGAATCTTATAAGACTCTTTTGTTTAAAAGGCTCTTTGAAGCCGCATGTATTTCCATAGAAAACACACCCCTGTGGTTACTGTTGTGAATACACTGTTTTCCTTGCAAGGGAAAGATTTAACAGTCTTGCAAAGGAGCTCGATTTAGGAACCGGTGCTGTGGGTGCAGAGCGGCTCTCTTTTCCACAGCTGCAGAGAGCAGGGACAGTGCTTTCCTCGTTTTAGACTTCTTTTGTTAATTATGAAGACTTGGCAGTTTTTAAAGTAGACTCTGACTCAAAATTTCATTTGATTTTATTGCCAGAAACAAAGATCTAAGCAGAATTTTCCTTCGTAACAGGGCAAGCATGGCACACACAGCAGGCCTATTCTGTGGGCCTGAACTAGCATGCCTGGACAAAGTGGGGGTGGTCTTGGGGGAGGAAGTGTAGGTCTCTTAAGAGATGAGGAAGCGGGGGCTGGCTGTTTGCAGGTGCAGGTAACACATAGTAGACAGTGCAGGGGCTGGAATGACCGGGTGCGAATTGTGACTTGAAGCTTAAGTGCTGCCCCTGGGACTCCTCCTTCACCTATGCATAGGGCCCACCCCGGGGATCTTCATTCTTAGTCAGGTGGAATGCCTGTAAGAGCCTAGGCCTCCGTGGGCATTAGCTAACATCTGCCTTTCCACCTCAGGTTACTCACATGCCCCCGGCAGCAGTAGCTTCAAGGAGCCAGGAAACTCAGAACTCAAGGTGAAAGGGTCAAAGGGCCATGGGCAAGAGCCCTCTCAGGGGCAGCAGGGGCGCAGGCCGCCTGGGAGAAGACGGCTGGGTTGAGGTGGGCTGCTGGGTGGAAGAAGGGGCAATTTCCAAGACCTTCCACGACACATGAAACAGGCTTAGCAGTGGTGACGGTGGCCACGCATACGGGACACACTGGGAAAGAGCACACATTTCTTGGACCCAAAATGTTTTTCTTTCCTAGGGCCCAGGCAAGATAGAAGAAAGGAGTCAAGCAGAGCCAAATGTTCAGACTTCCTGTGGACAGACACTGAGAAGCCCGCAGGAGGGAACGCTGGGCCAGGAAGGCCCAGAGCCCTCTGACCTCGCTTCCCAGGGCTTGCCAGAACTCCACGACCCCTCCAAGGGGCTTGGCGCTGGCCTGAGCCACGAGAGAGCCGAGGGGGCAGAGCCCCAGACACTGTTGACCGACTCTCCTCAGGGTAGCCCTGAGGAGACACCACAGGGTCAGCGTGGGCAGTCGCCTCGGGGTTATACAGGAGAGTCGACTCGGAGACCAGGCAAAGGGGCTCCTCAGAGCCAAAGAGAAAGGAAGCAGGCTCAGCAGGAAGTCAAAACCCCTCAGTGTGGGGACGGTGGTAATTCAGAAGTCTGGGGGGAAGCTCAGGGAGTAGCGAAAGTGTGGCGCCAGGAAGAGGGCGACCCTGAGGGCCATTCCAGGGACGTTTGCAGGTCCCCGGGAAAACCGATCCCCCAGCATGCGGAGACGGGGATACCAGGACCCCCAGGTAGTAGCGCCCAGCTGACACCGGTGGTGGCCACCCAGGAAGGGGCCTGGGCCCCCACCCCTGCCGCGATGCCTCCTTGGGCCCCATCCCCTCTCCGAAGGCCGCAGGAGCCCCAGCCGAGGCTCCAGGATGCTCTCTGGGAGCAGAGAGGCCCTAGGGACCCCAAATCCTGGAAGGCCGCGTGGCCCGAGCCCCGGAGCAGGGAGGAGGCACCGGCCGGCGCTGAGCAGGAGGCTCTGCAGCGGCTGCTGGAGCTGCACCGCGCGGCCAGGGAGCGGCGGCTGCGGGACCGCGAGCAGCAGCGGCTCCGGGTGCGTCCCGTCCCGGGGCCCCGCCTGCCGGGGGTGAGGTGGCCAGAGGGGTCGCCGAGGCGGAGCCCGGCTGACTGCTGCCTCCCCAGGTCCTGGAACGACTCCGCATCCTCGGGAACCACCGTCGCCGGGTTCACCCTCTGGGGCTCCCTCCCAGCGCAGCTCAGATGGCACCACAGGCTAGCACCTGGGGAAGGGCGGCTCGACCACCATGGCTCTGCCCCGGAGGCGAGGGCAGTAGCCAGCGGCTGGCTTCCGAGGGGCTCAGCGGGAGAGGGGCGGCCGCTGGGAGGCTCCGGCGCACCCGCCCTGCTCAGAGCTCTTGTCATCTAGGGGGATGCGGCAGGATGGAGACGCATCTTGCGGGAGCGGCTGGAACAAGTGCACCGCGGCAGGACTCAGTGGCTGCGGGCCCTCGGGGCCAGGTGAGAGGCGGGCGGGGAACGGGAGGTGGTCCTTTGCCCTAACATCTCACTGACAACGTCACTGTCCTTCCCAGGAACACCCAGAACTTTCAGGAGCTACTGTCCCCTGGCACTGAGAAGCCCAGTCCTGGAGAATAGTGCGCACACCACACATCCTGCTGCTGTCCTTACTCAGTCCTCGTGGAGATACGGAGATGATGGCTAAGGAAAAGGCCGCAGGGTGACCCCAGGTGTGAGGTAGTTTCAGAAATGTCCAGAGGGAAGCCTCAAGGCCAAAAATACACACAGCAATATAGCTCCACCAAGAATCCTATTATTTGCTCTTTCCGCCCAAAAGTCACTGCCAGGCCCGAGGTCAGATGGCCAGGTCTCGGGGATCCAGCAGTGCAAAGGCCCCATTCTTGCGGAAGAATGACTCGATGCGGCACATCTTGCAGGAGACCAACTCTTGCTTTGTAGGGGGGCCTGGGGAGAGATGTCAGACACTAGGAATGGGTTTCTGGGGAAGGGTCTCAAAGCTCAGGAGTCTGTCACATAGCCCTAGGACTCTGCCCGAGTTGGGCCCACTGTGTGAATAAACAGAAAGGGCTTCTGAGGAGTGGGGGCTACAGGACGGTTCGCCTGGGTTTGGGCAACCGGCTCGGCATTGGTGGCAGTGTGGCCTGCAGCTGCCTGCCATGGCCACCTAGATGTTCATTCCTCCAGAGCCTTCTTTTTGGTATCTAGATGACAGAGCACTCTCTCCCCAGGGCCACCGGGTCAGTGTGTGACTGTCACAGGGACAGACCGTGGGGACATGGGACTTCTGTCCCTCTGGGGCTTCCGCTTGCTTTTGCTGGGTGGGTGGTGGGGATGAGGGAACTGTGTCCTCCAACCACCCACCTTTTCTGCACTCAGGGTGGGGCACAGTCCCTAGACATTCTTGACTGGTAGTAAACAGACACTCAGGCGCCCGCATCAGTGGGAAGACACCGTGGTCTTACTGCTTTCCCGCTTCTGAGAAGCCTCTGTCCCAGCTGATGATCTACCTTCAGCCTGGGCGGGGCACTCAGGTGGGCGGCCTTCTTGTCGATGGCAGCCCGCCTTCTGGCCACCTCCCATGCTTTGCTTTAAATAGTCTTACACTGGCTCCCTCTGGTCTAACCCTGAAGGTCATACTTCCTCGCATAGCTGCCTCGGCGACATCTGGAACCCACCACGACCACACAGATCTCTAGTCACACATCTCCAGCCTGTCTCTTCCCATTTTACCAGCAGCTACAACAATGTGTGCCCTGCCATCGATTGCTGTCCCTGCCGCCTTCAAGCCATCAATGAGCTCCATTGAGTTTTGTCCAAAACACCCTTGATTTCAGTTCTGCTAATCCTACTCACATCTTGCCAAGAAAACACAAAACAAACACCTAACTCATCTGTTATATGTGTCAACTTCCTGAATCCAGTATCACTCACCTGCTTTAAACTCTCACTAGCTTCCCCTCAGATGAGGGTAAAATCCAAAGCCCTCTCCACATCATTTACCCTCAGCCTTAAAAGCCTCAAGAAAAGGCCTTTGCTAACAGTCTAACCCAAAGCACATGCCCTTCCCCGGCCCTCCCCATCCCTTCATTCCACAGGGCTTGTCCCTCTTAGATCTATTGCCTTGCCCTGGAATCTCCACTATCCAGCATAAGGCGGAGTTCCACATTTGTGAGGTGACTCAATCCTGGGAGGTCGGGGCTCACCCAGCTGCCAGCCGTATGTGAAGTTGGTAGTGATGGGGAACAGGTAGCGTGTCTCTGGCAGGTCCAGTTTTCGGGTGTTGAGATACTGGTAGCGCCCCTGAAAGTCATGGGAGATGCCTTCATACAGCAGGGCTTTGGTGTCAGGTGGCACTGGGTACATTTCTGACTGCAAAGGAGTCTCTGGGCCGGGGCTGGGGGCCTTAGAAGGGGCTGCTTTGGAGGTAGGTGGTGTGGAGACCGGGGCTGTAGGCAGCAGGGTGGGCAGTCTGAGGGGCAGGCGGGCCGCAGCCTTCGCCTTCTGCTTGGCCTTCACCAGAGCCCCGTACTTGTGGTGCCATTCACAGCGCAACTTCATCTCTCTGAGGTATTCCTCCTTCCAGAAGTTTTGCCGCAGGGTGTCCATGTTGAGCTGCCTCGACATGGCGGCAAGGAAATGAGCACTATGGGGGGGGGCTACTGCTGAGTGAGCCCAGCAGGCAGACAGTGGCCACTCTGGGACAGTCACCTGGCAACCGAGCTTCACCTCACACAGGGCCAGGGTTCTACCCGCCACTGCCCTCAGCAGATGCCCTGTGTGACCCTTTCTGAGGAGCCCAGCGCAGGGCTCACTAACCAAACACCTGTAGACCCCAGGCTCGACCTAGAGCAGTGGTTCTCAGCATTCCTAATGCTGTGGCCCTTTAATGCGGTTCCTCATGCTGTGGTGACCCCCAACCGTAAAATTATTTTCATCGCTACTTCACAACTGTAATGAATTGTAATGTAAATATCTGTGTTTTCTATTGGTCTTAGGTGATAAAGTGTCGTCCAACCCCACAGGGGTCTAGACCCACAGGTTGAGTGAGACTTGATCTAGAAGGACAGTCCTACGCAACTGCTTTTGCCCCTTGGGCAAGGCGCCTCCCAGCACCCTGAGGACCGAGTGAAGACACAAAGTGAGGACACGCTGGGCTCACACTTCACCCTCCATCCCTCAGCCAGTCTATGACCCAGGTGGCCGGTCCTTGAACCAGGCCCCTGGCTCAATTCTTCCTCACCCGGCCCTTTGGTAGCTTTCCCACAATTGCATCTGATGTCCCCCAACACTGTACCCATTTGGAGAGAATATTCTTTTAATATCGACAATGTTACTGTGTAACAGCACAGGGAGGAGGTAGTGGAGAGAGACGGTTGGGCTTTCTTTCCCTAACCAGCCTGGATCTGAACAGCAGAGCCCCAACAGCTTAGGAGCCACTCAGTGAAGAGAAAGGGAGGAGCTGGAAACCAAGGCTTCAAACTTAAATAGAGGATGGCAAACCGGGAGGGGCCTGGTAGTGAGAGGGTTGGGGAGCCCTAGCGCAGGTCTTCGGCGGTGAACATGCCCTTGGCCCTGCGCAGGATGGAGTCTTTGGCTGCATCGTATGGATGCTCCTTGGATGGGATCTCCAGGACAGCTGGGATGGACCGCTGGTGGGCGTCGAGGGCATGCCGGACCATCTCTGCAATGTACTGGTTGATGAGAATAATGCCAATGTCATCCCTGTTCAGAAACTGCCTGTGGGAAAGAAAAGGAGGATGGCAGTGACCAGAGGCACAAGGTCTCAGCCGTAGCTTTCCTTGGATGAAGAGCTCAGAACCACACTGGCTAGGGTGTACGTCAGACTGCGCCAAATGCTGCCTCTGGGTAGAAAGGGAAGGAGAAGGAAATAGGTATGAGGCCCTTTGTATCTATCTGCATAAGAAGATTCTAGAAATGTCAGACTCTTACTACTGACGAAGGCAGAGAAGGGAGACATTTTAAAATACAGAGCTGAGGAGACCACCGAAGGCCTCAAGGTCTGTGCTGACGAGGCCAGGACAGCGGTCAGGAGTCGCAGACAAGATGGAAAGAGGAAACTCAGCAATGACGGAATCACAGTTTCCACACAAACTGTCATTATGGCCTTCCTGTCATGTGATCACTCCCCCACACAGCCATCTGCTCATTAAAAATAATTTACTGAAAAACCAAAGAAGCAAGCAAGCAAGGAGGTAGAGGCACCCCTTTAATCCCAGCACTTCGGGGGCGGAGGCAGGAGGATCACTGTGAGTTTGCAGCCAGCCTGGTCTACAGATTGAGTTCCAGGAAGGCCAAGACTACACAAACAAACTCTGTCTCAAAAAACAAAACAATAGCAATGATTTACTGGGCACCTACTTTGTGCCAACCATGGAACAGATTTGACTTGATCGTTTTAGGATCCCTTCTTGTTGGAAACATGGAAATTCTTAGAAGAAAAATCTGTCCTCCAGTGGCAACGGAGGTCATTTTACCACATTGCTCAGAGATCAGCTGATCACAGTCTCCCAGGTCAGAGCCTGCCACGTCCCAGGCAGTGTGAACTAGTCTCAGCCAGCTGACTGGGCTGTTTAGGGAAGATAGGTGAGGGCAGTTTATTCCTGAGACTCGGCTCAGGAGCCCCATAAAAGGCGGGAAAGCACAGGGCGTTGGCACCCCTAGATTCTAGTCAACAGGGTACTTCCTGGCTTGGAAGGAAGACCTCAGCCACTTTTTGAAACTATGAGCTCTGACCCAGGGCACAAAGTGATGGCTTGAAGAACAAGGTCTTTGTGGAAGGCCATACTTCCCAGGCGATCTGCCCCGTGTGCTCAAGACAAATGAAAGCCCCAAGGCACACTGAAGGTAGCCGCAGAAGCAGGAGTAGGCTCTAGCCTAGGAAAGGCAAAGGAGGGCTATCAAGGAGGCTCGGGGAAATGTGCCTGATGGCTAGTTGAGTTCTTCCATGCTCGAAGCCCATGGAAAGAGAAAACTCATTTCCAAGGTTGTCCTCTGACCTCCATGTGTGCAGTGACAAGCACCTGCCCCCAGTCACACACCACACACACAGACTCGGTAATTAATAAAAACAGACGGATAGGGCTGGCGCCCGCCTTCACACCCAACACTCGGGAGGCGGAGGCAGGCGGATCTCTGTGAGTTCGAGGCCAGCCTGGTCTACAGAGCGAGGTCCAGGACTACACAGAGAAACTGTTTACAAACGAAAGAGGAGTTGGCCTAGGTTCTGCCTCTTACAGCTGGTGTCTTTGGGCCTGTGCCTTATCCCGCCCTTTATTTTCCTCACCGGTAAGGGGGAATAACCACTACCTGACAGGACAGTTGTGGGAAAAATGAGGTGTGTGTATACACCACACACGTGTACACACACACACACACACACACACACACACACACGAGCCCACTGTCCAGACCCACACTGGATGTGGTTTGGTTAGGGTATGACTCAAAGCGTGAGGTCGAGCATTACAGGTGAGCGTCGGGGATCCCGGAAGAAACGCGGAGCCGCGGGTCTCCACCTCCTGGAAACTCCAGGAGTCCAATTCCGGCAAGGGCGGACGGCAGGCTCTGCTCTCCTTCCAACCTGACACACAATCATGTGACGGGGAGCTCGGGGACCTGCCTCACGCCGGACCCCTCTGAGCTCCAGAGGGGAACTGAGGCGGCGGAGGCCTCTGCTTCGGATGCGCTGATGGCTTCCAGGGCCATCCCGATCCCCATGGCCGCTTGACACCCAGGTAAACAGGCCCCTAATTCTCCCCGCGCTGGTAACTAGCAGGAGGACCCATTTAGGCCTCACGGGCTACCGTACCTGAAAGTGTCTTCGATCTCATTGATGGTGGTGTCCTTCTCAACCACCAGGAAATTAGGGTGGCGGTTCTTGTTAAGCTCCCCTATGCCGCCCAGAAGGAAACCCGTCACCGTGTCCTCGTCCCCAATCACCGCGATTAGTTTACCCCGGCCCGCCATTCCGTCGCCGGAGCAGAGCGCT